AGTATTCTTGTCATTTTAATTTGTGGCTAAATTTTCCTACAATCGCGAACGACTGAAGGGATAGTGTAAATCCAGCTAGGGTCCATGCAGGTAGCAAAAGTAATGTAAGTCCCCATGGTTCCTAGTATGGTGATCTACCTTCAGTTGTTGGCAATCTATAGCCCGTTTTTATATTGTATTGTCTTTCGTAAATAAAATAGTTTTACATGTTCATGCTAGTTTTAGACTCCATCTGTGATACTCTAGTTATTTTACAGTCATTCGATGACTGATTATTTAACAACTTTAATTCATTGTTTATGTAAAACATTTCTCGTCACAATATGGCTGAAATATTGCAGAGGTGACGTTAAATTCTAACTCACTCACTCACTAACCCCTGGGTGACCTAACATTCTGGTCCACATGTAGCGATATAGATAATTATGCTTCACGGTACCCAGTGATTACAATGCTACAGTCTGTTCCTCTACGTTTGAGAATACGAGAATACCTCTCCATAATTATAAACAAATGTCAGCTGGATTATTATGAAAAACAACAAAAGACAACTGTGTCTTAATAAGTGTTTGATTGGTATTCTAAAAGTGAGGAAATAAGAAACCGGGCTCAGTTGCGTGGTGTAATGAACTGAGGAGCGAATTTCACTGTCAATTTGATTTACAACTGACAATATCTTGGGTCAGCGAAGAACTGTATGTCGCTTTATTACCACTCAAAGAGCACATGATATTATTTTCATGAATATACTTTGACCTAAAACTTCCAAAATGAAAACACAACAACCACCCTTTATACATATGGCACTCATAGATCCATTTCCACAGACGGATCCAAGGATGAGGGCCAGGTTGCCAGTGCTACAGTCATTAGATCAAGACTGTCTCCTCTAGGTATCCCGACAACAGTTCCATTTTCACTGCCGAGGCCAAAGCTATCTTCTCAGCATTGACCTACATTAAACAGCAGAATCACTCCAAAATCTTAATCGTTTTACAGATTCATTATCTTGCCTTCAGGCACTTCAAAATATAACTTCAAGTCACACAATCATTCTGGACACTTTAGAACTTTACAACGACCTTTCTACTGGCCAATGTGAGGTCGTCCTCTGCTGGTTGCCGGGTCACGTCGGCATAGCAGGTAACACAAAAGCTGATGCTGCAGCTAAAGCAGCTCTTCACAAGCCCTTATCTCCACTGCTGATCCCATACAGTGATTTCAAACCCACTATCATAAGCTATACTCGGGACCTCATGCAAAAAAGGTGGGACACTCAAGTAGGAAGAAATAAACTGTATGAATTGAAACCAACAATTGGTTATACCTACTTGGGTTGTCAGTCAAGACGCGATGAGGTAATTTTACGACGATGTCGTATTGGCCACAGTCGATTTACACATGACTATCTGCTGAAGACGGATGGGGATGGACCCCCGATGTGTGTCTCTTGCGATGAGATTTTCACCATCAAGCATATTCTGCTTGACTGTGTGGACTTGTCGTCTGCCAGTGACTCACATTATGATGCAACAAATCTGAAAGATCTTTTCTCCCGCGTGAGCGATCATCTGATAGTGAACTACCTGAGGGAAGTTGATCTCTATCATAAATTTTAACTGTGTAATGTGACTAACGAATTGCCTGTTTTAATTTGGTGCTATGACTTTTTCGGTTTATAAATGACAATGTAATGAATATATGCTTTTGAAATAAAACTCATTCCGAGTCAAGAATTAAAACTAGCATCTCTCTCTAAAATTGGATTTCAAATTAGGACAAGACAGTATGAAAATGGGGTATAGACCGCCAACAACTGAAGGAAGATCCCCTTACTAGGAACAATGGGGACTTACAGTGCCTTTGCTACCTGCATGGACCCTAGTTGGATTTACACCATCCCTTCAGATGTTAGCAATTGTAGACAAATCTAGCCTTAAGTTAAAATAACATATATCCTACAAATAAATAATGTGGTAGGTTTAAATTTGCCTTGAATATTTTGGGACTTGAAACAAAGACGTTGGTGTATCTTGTTGTGTCTTTGTTTTTAAAACATCGGACGTACAGACATAATGCAACACTGCTGCTGCTGCTGATGACGATGCGAGAGTAAATTGATAATGAAGTTCTTGAGGTATGGTAATACTGTTAATTTCATTGGCTTCATCCTCCCATTCTCATCTTTGTACCCATTCTCATCTTTGTAACATTAATCAATCTAATTGGCCTGTAATTGTATTGTAAGTTCTTTGTACATGGCTCTCACGCCTCCTTGCGTTGTGTAAACATGTTTTCATTGGAATATTGCTAAAAGCGGCGTAAAATATATATATAAACTCTGGGCATATATATATATATAAACTCTGGGCACTGACTAAGCATTCGCCTGATGAAGGAGCAAGAATTACCACGATAACGTCGTATAAAGAATAAGCTGTTACCCATAAAAACGTGTCATGTATTCATGAAATTGATAAAGTTCAAAGCACCCTATATGAATAATACATGAACAACAAATGTAGCGGACTGACTTTTGAACAATAATCAGCAGAGCAGGGGCTCTACTTTCCTTTTGCACACCCATCTGTCACACCAGCTTGATGTGAAACTGATATTTCACGACTGGATACATGTTTTATATCCTTTCAGTACCTCTCCTAGTATGATTAGCAACGTGTGATCGCACCGAAACTTAAATTCGAAACACAAAGTACTTAGTAAAACACTACATTAAACAACATTTTCCTTCACAATAACCATAGTATATATTAAATTACACATTTACATGAAGGTGTTTAGTATATAAGTACGTCATCTTCACATCTTCGGCCAACGAACAACTCTGGGCACAGCCACGCAGAATAAGGTAATTTGTGTTGTAAACATGCTCGTATTCTGATATCAAAATATGCATGCCAAAGAACCAAAGACTTCATTGAACTATCTTGTTTCGAAAAGGTCCTAACTTTTAATTTAGTTAACTTAACTTAATTGAGGTTTATGTCAGTTTTAATGTCGGTAACAGTTCTATTGAACTGATGGTAGTGGCAGCCATGGTTGTCTATGGTGCAGTTAGAATTGCATGCAAAATATTGTCCATTTGTATATTTATTTTAGAGGCAGCTTCCAAGAAGCCCTAGAGATTGAAAGCATGACATCACATTTTCGGAAATTCGAATTAGTGGTATTACATTTTGTTTTCGAAATTCGACCAACATTTCACCTGACGTATGTCTTTAAGTCTTCAGGCAGAGAGAACTTCTACTGAAGTAATATATCTGATTTCCATGAAACTGACAACTGTTAATTATGTCGGAGAATCAAAACTGATAACGTTCCAAACAGGTGTAGTGGTAGTTATTATAAGCATATACCTACAGGCATTTAATGACAGAAAAATGAAACAAATGAAATAAATAGTGTCTCAGATCTGCTGTACTCTTTATTCACCAGTAAAGGTGGAGAGACTTTGCATATGTCGCTGTCATTGTTGATGCGATGCAATATTCTAGATAAGTATTGAGACCTCAGGACAAAACACTGAAATGAAAAAGGACAAGATCGTCAATTCTAGAGGACTGTACAGAATACAGTGTGCATTTTGACAGAACACAAGTGACAAGAGCATGTTTACGAAATCAGAATATTGCAAAATAGAGTTGTATGCAAATGACTGAACCCAGTCTGTAGACCATTATAGGTAGGTAGATATACAGTGAGTGAGTGAGTGAGTTACGATTTAGAGTCACATCGGCAATATTGCAGCCATATCGTGACTATAACAATATATTCTGTAATAATAAAGAAAAGTTACTTTGTAACATCTGTCAACCAAGGACAGTAAAACAATTAGGCTATCACAGATAGAAAGTTAAAACAAGCATGTAAGCATAAAACATGTATTAAAATACAGGACACTACAATATAAAAACCGGGCTATTGATCACCAACAGGTAGGTAGGTACCTTTGGTACCTACATGGACCCTAGCTGGATTGACAACATTCCTTCAGCTGTTGGTGATTTTTCCACAATTTAACCATACATTATAAAATACATATATACAACGATTAAAATCATGGACAATGAAAAATATTGTGAATGAAATGGGCCTTACATACCCTCCCCGGGGGACAATAATTTTACGTCAGATACACAGAATAGACCGGAAATTTCCTTTCAGCTCTTCACTATCCATTGTTTATACTCACTTTATGGAAACGATGAACGAAACAAAAAAACAAAGAAAGGTTATCGGTATTAAGTTTCAGGCATTATATGCTCATCAAACGACGTTTAGGAGCATTCGATTATTCCATATTACCATATTTACAATCTTTCATGCTATGACATGATATGAGGGAGTGAATTTAGTTTTACGCCGCACTCAGCAATATTCCAGCTATATGGCGGATATGACATGCTAGGACATACCATGACATGATAATATGACCAATTAATTCCGAAAACAAATATATGATAATACGTCGCTGCGGTGTTTGTTTGCACTTTTTTGCTCATGACATTTATCCCTTAATATATTGTATGAAATTCCAATCTAAACAAATTTCTATTCGTTAAGAAATTCGAAACGATGTGATTCTCAATTGATTTTGTGTAAAATTCGAACCATCTTTATTGCTTAAAAAGTCGGGATACAGATTTCAGTTGTTTCAGAGTCCTCCATTCCGCGCTGTGAATTAACTTACTATGTTTGAAATAGCAATCTGAACAAATAGCCATTTTCTATGCATTTACTGTTCGGTAAACCATTTCGAAGCCATGTCATTTTAAACAGATTTTGCGTAAAATTCTCACCGTTGTTTAAAAAGTCTGGTGATTTCAGCTATTTCAGAGTCCACCTTCAGTGCTTGGAAATAACGAGATTGCCACGATGCTCTTGTTCGTCTTCGGTCTCGTCACCTTGTCGGTTCTCGGAGCTAACTGTGATGCTCTCCTATACAGGGTGGACATCTCTCTGCCACCCAAGGAAGAAAGGGACGAAGCTTCAGACATATTGTCCATTAAGGACAAAGTAAACAGTCTAACTGACATCGGTGTTCTGTTCTCCTTTAAGGTTTGTGAAATTGTTTCAACTAGTTGTTCCCTCATGCATTTCTAAAATGTACAAAGTTCCCCTTAATGGGATAACAAAGTATTAAAGCGTGGCTCAAATACGCGACCAGGAATCTGGGTTAGAATTGATCTTGGTGGTCAGACTCGCTGACTTGCTTGACACATACCATCGTATCCCAATTGAGCAGATCGATGCTCATGATGTTGATCACTGGATTGTCATGTCAAGACTCTTTTATTTACAGACCGCCGCCATATTGCTGGAATATTGCTGAGTGCGGCTTTAAACAAACAAATTCAACCAGGTCTTCTTGATAATGTTAGATTTCATGTCCTTTACATCCTAACATTGACATTCAACATAAATTCCGATATGAAGAGAGGGTTCTTTGCTTTGTATACTAGCACAGATCCTTAAGATTTGTTGTTTACCTCCGATATCACGATACACATAAAGCTCATGATTTGTTCAATATCAATACTTACTAATTATTGGTTTTTGGTTTCAAAAGGAGCTCGGGAACCCAAGGGTAGTTCTTGGTAAGTCACTTTCTACGTAGCTTTGTTTGTTTCATGGAACTGAATAAAATCCCAAAATTTAAAAATTCGTATTTAATTTCAAATAATTTGAAAGATACGATAACTTCAGGCATATATCTTACGTTTTCGGAAGATGTATTTGTTAGGTTCAATATTTTTTTATTCTTGGATGATGTTTTATTTTGCGAATTGCGAACACCTGTTCTATAAATCCATATGTGTAAAGATGTGTTTGTGACGCGATAGGTATAAATGAGGACACGGCGGTAACACGGTCATATTTCGATTGTTATCATAGAAAAACACTTTACATGAAAGAAATGTGTAGATCAGTTTTTTCATACCCAAAAGGATTCCAGAGGGACAAGAAGATATTAATTTCAAATTTTCTAATGGTGGATGTTTGTTTTCTGTTACTTGAAAATGTGCATGTAGATATATCTAACGCATCAAACAATTTGAGCTGCCGCGGCTTTCAGTGTTTGTTTTCGGTCATTCAAAACTTGGTGTTGGACATTGAAAGAGTAAATACATTGAACACACCAAGCAGTTTCCTAAAGACGTCTAACCTGTCGTTCTTTCATAACGTCCCTTTCGTAAAAATTCCAGTGCTTAACGTTGAGAAAGCCTGCAGTTGGAACCAGTTGACACAGTATCTGTCAAGCAGTGGATATGAGTACAGCTCTCAGGCGCTCTACCACTGTAGTGACTACGCCAAGGAACTCGGCGTCGACATTCCTAAGGACATGTGGGCAACTTCTTTTGGGGACGAAGAACTTATGATTGACGTGAAAACATTTCCTCTCAAAGGTGTGTCTATTTTTAACTCTAAAAGATGTAAGAAACTGGTACGGAGATGTAGGAGTCAATAAATCTAAGAAACATTGCATTCACATGTAAATGCATTTGTACTATGACAGCTGTTAGTTGGTAACACTTCAGAGTCACACCTCATTGTTTGCTCAGCAAAATAGTTGACCAATAGTATCTAGTATGGTTGATACCCATGAGCATAGACCAATCACATCATGTATTATATATTAATCATCATCCCCTTTTCAGATTTATCTACAGTTGAGTACAACCTCAAGATGAGGTGGACATTCGAGAAGGACATTGACATCCTCAAATCTGGTCAGAAGGGGGCGTGTTTCAGAACTCTGGCAGAATACCCTACTCAGGTGACCCTCTTTACACGGCTCGTTTTGTTGTGTATATGACTTTGAAATATTTGTAGAAAGCCTTCAGATCTAGATAGGGGACAGCCTAACGATATGTCGTCCCGATTGCTGCATGCGACTTACGCATATACGTCTTCAAAACCGGAATATATCAATGTATATTTGGGACTAAATGTTTCTTGTGAAATTCTGATATTTGATCACTGAGTATTGACGATGTACTTTTGATTTCAGCTGATGTATTTTGCCCCACTCAAACCATCTAGCGTTGAAGCGATAGAAGAACTTCTGCATGCTCCTGGGAACTTTGAGTCTGAAATCACCCAAATCCAAAACTTGGAATATTACACTGGACAGTGTAATTGAAAATGTGGGGCATCCCAAGCATCCATGGTATTTGCGCAGTAAAGTACCGGACGTTAATTGACTTCCTCCTTGATAGATTCTGAAGGTGCAATACGAGTGCTTTGTTATTCATGTATGTAAGTTCTTGACCTCAATAAAATAGACTACAGCATCTGTCCCTTAATTTATCATTTGTGATCTTGCATATATGTATTTTACATATGTAGTCACATTTTACAATCTGTAACCATACACCACACACTGGAAACAATAATTATAAACGATACACTGTGTCACAGTTCGTGACGATATCTGTTGTCTGTAAGATGATGGAGAGTTGCTGAAATGTAATAGTTACAAAATGTCATTGGTGCTATTCTGCATTGCTAGCTCACAAGTGAGAAGTTGCACTACATACCCAACTCCGTGGGACACAATGTCTGAGACACAAACAAACCATTACGGGTCCAGAATGCCAGTGGTAAAACAAACATTTTAATCATGCGGAGCAGCTATTGACCTGAACCCATCAGTGATGGTGTGGGGTTGCGTATATGTGGCTACAAGTTGGATCTCACAACAGTACCTTGGAAACACAAAGGTCAACGTTTTCGACCGGAAGTACTGGATACGGCCATGGTGCCACATTTTGTTAACTTTGCCAATCGTCAGATATTCATGGATGTAGTTACAAAAATGGTCCTTATCCAAAAAAAAAAGAAAAAAAAAGGTATTGATGCAACCACTGTATCGGGAATGGCAGAGGAATCAGATGCTCATAATTCGATGCTTAATTGGCAGTATGAGGTGAGTGAGTGAGTGAGTTTAGTTTTACGCCGCACTCAGCAATATCCCAGCTATATGGCGGCGGTCTGTAAATAATCGAGTCTGGACCAGACAATCCAGTGATCAAAAGCATGAGCACCGATCTGCGCAATTGGGAACCGATGACATGTGTCAACCAAGTCAGCGAGCCTGACCACCTGATCCCGTTAGTCGCCTCTTACGACAAGCACAGTCGCCTTTTATGGCAAGCACATGGGTTGCTGAATACCTATTCTACCCCGGATCTTCACGGGTCGGCAGTATGAGGAGGAGACTGGCAGATGTTGTAAGTCCGAGGGATGGCTACGCATTATACATGTACTGGTGTGGTGGTCTGTTGTGGTTCATACAATCAGAGCAACCCTTGTTTAAACTCCGTGCTACAATCAGATTTATGGGGTAGTCATGATGACCGTACTTTCCAGCATTGTTGAAGTTCACGTTTTTGTATATTCTTCTCAGATTGCAGTAATGTGTTTCCATGTTTCAACTTCAGTTTCGTTTTTGTTGAAATCAGAGTAAAATGTGTTAAATTTACCAATTTAATCCGTGTAATTTGGGTTTTCAAAGCATATGCGTCATCATCTGTTTTCGTACTCATCGTAAAAAAGTTGGTTATTGCACGATTAATGCCCATGGATATATTTCATTATGGCCTTGGGCATGACATCCAAATTCAATACTGGAACTTGTCATTTCTAATATAACTGCCACGGGGACTGTAAACAAGACGATTAATGTGTTACAATGAGTTTTCAATTTCTAATAAAATAGTTTATGAACAGAAACTTGAGTATTATCATCAGTCATCCTGGAAACCTCACAACTTAATTATGCTGAAATGGCATTTTCTAAAGGAAACGTATAGAAAATACTTGATCTGACATTTGTAAAATCGAATTAGGCAAAATTGTGACTGAATCGCAATAATTTGATTGCTATATAAATATTAAACAATGAAAATGCGGTTCAATGATGTTTACTTGAATAATATAATTATAAAATAATGACTGCTCCCTTGCCAGAGACAAATCTGGATTATCTGCCACACTTGCCCGTGAGTCTAATAATCAAAAGTTTTTATTGCTGAAAATATCCAAAACTTTAACAGGGTTATTGTCCTGGACTTATTTTGCTAAATAGTACATGCATGTCCAATCAGTATTGATCAGGGCCTCCTTTCATAAGCACTAAGGTGATCGTGAGTCACTAAGGTAACTTTAGTGCAGTTTTAAAGAATGGGAGTTAAAGTTAACTTAAGTAAAGGTTGCTTCGTGAAACCATAACTTACTTACTTTGCCTGCCATTTTGGATGGAGGGACATTTATATTTTGCGGATGTTTTACATTGATGTAAATTAACTGTTTCTCCCCTTTTCTTGTTCCTGTAAATCATTAATTGTGGAATTGTTGGTTTGTAATCATTGGCTATGCTGACTGTGTAAGAGGAAACAGTGAAGAAAGTCCGGCATTTTTGTCAGACTAAGTAAACTTAGGCTCAGTATTATTTGTTACACTGCTATACTGAGTCTAACAAACCCTAGTAGAAGGTCGCGTCAGCTAACCTTTGAGCTTCCTATGACCGTCCAATCAAACGCGAGACGGCTGAACGGATTTAACCAATCAGAAAACGACTACTTGTTAGAGTTCGGCGGGACTTACAAAGCGGTTTTTGGATTTTTTCTTCTCTGGTCGCTGACGCTGATCTATCAACAAACGAAAATCGGCATAAAACACAGATATTTTACCTGCAGTATATACGCTTAGGGGTTTCTAATGACTTGGTTACTATTAGCCTATATTTCATCCTTGACATCCTTGAATATTGACACAAACGTTATTTTCAGCGACTGTTTACTCATAGCGTCCTCCATATGTATCACTCGGAAGCGATCGTGCAGAAAATAGCGATCGGAATCGTTCCAGTTTTTTAGATAAAGGTTCACGCGGTACGTGCGAATGTTAACTTTCGCTGTGTTCTGATTGGTCAGTCCAAAATTTAGCTGACGCGACCTTCTACTAGGGTTTTTTAGACTTAGTTGTCTACTACACATGTGCACACGGACAAAAAACAATTGTTATGTGCCTACATATTTGAAATTATTTCAGAAAAGTTCTTGAAAATGATGATCAACGTTTGTGCTGTTGTCATTAAATGCACATCTTTAATGGAAACTTGATCTTAGCCGCTTCACTATACTGCTTGCTGGCATGAAAGGCTTGGGAAAACGGCAGTCCAAGATGCCTTTATATAGTTCTTACACAGTTCTTGAGCATTCTAGCAATGCTTGGCTCCATCCTTATTCTCTCAGAACGTTATGGAATCATGTGGAACACACGGCGTGATGAAAGCCAGAAGTCAAAACAAACTAAACAATCCAGTCGAGGGAGGCAGCTCTGAAGGCTATCAAAAAGGCATGCCTCTACAAGTACTATTGCCATTGAACATATATGATACAAGATGCGAGCCAAAACCCACACTCAAAACTTTAAACATTGTGACCCATAATAACTATCACTTAATCAATGTGATATTACAAATTACGAAAAACACCTTCTCATAACACCATAACATACTTATCTTTTGTCATGGAGCTTCACATTCGAAAAACTGTCTGCTGCCTGCCATTTTTGATGGAGGGAGCATTTATATTTTGGGAATGTTTTAAATTAATCTAAATTAACTATTTCTTCTCTTTTCCTCTACCTGTAAATCATTAATTGTGAATGTATTGGTTTGTAATTATTGGTTATGCTGACTATTTAATAGGAAACATTGAAAATACTACGGTATTCCTTGTCTACTGCACATGTACACACTGACAAAAACAAATATTATGTGCCTCCATATCTGAAAGTATTTCCGAAATTTTCTAGAAAATGATAACCCACTTTTGTGATTTTATCATTAAATGCACAGTTCTAATGGATACTTGATCTTAGCCGCTTCACTATACTGCTTGTTGGTATGAAAGGCTTGGGAAAAATGGCAGTCTAAGACTGTATGTGATAAGTATAGTCAAGGAACTTAACTCTGCGTCGTTAATTGTGTTGCTTACACTACTTGGCCTCCCAGCTTGAAAATGAGTGTGTATATGGGAGGAATAGCATAAAACATGAACTAGTCCATATACTTACTTGAACTGAAGTGAGTGCAAAACAAAAAGAAGATGGAAAGATATAAGGACGTAAGGCAGCTCAGTGCCGATAAAACTGAGGCGGTCTTGAAATCATTTTAATGATATTAAATGAATGATTATAAGCGCGGGTTGAACGTGAGCACACGATTTGGCATGGTTTCTATAGTTT